ACGTGAGACGACCCAAAACTCTTCTCCTTTTGCAGGGTATTGAGCGTCTTAAAAATCAGAAGCCAACCTGGGAGAAGATCAGCGGCTGGGAAGGAATGAAGCTGGCCTTCGGTGGTGCCTTCTCCTTGGGTTGGTTCAATCCCTTTTCGAACCTGAACTGCAAGAGCCCAGCGCCGGCCGAAGCGGCGGTGGCAGCTCCTGCGTCAGCAATAATGACCCAAGAAGAAATCGAGCAGTTTCTCGCTCGAGATGTTGCCGTCCAAGTGTTACATGAATAAGCAAAGCATCCTCTAGGATGTCAGCAGCAGCTTTCAGGTGTTTTTTTTTAAATAACCACTTGTCCTGGAGGTTTAAGGGGTTGGGTTTTAACATGCTTTTGGTGCATTAAAAAAATGCAGGAGTATTTATCTGGAAGCTAGGTGCAGCACTAGCAGAAGCAATGCAAATCTCCAGAGAAAGCAGCATAAGTGATGAGATTCAGAAGCTCCTTTTCGGACCTGCGACAACTGCTTTATTGGGCTTTTCTTACTTGACCTTTGAGGAAAGTCTATAATTGTCGGATAGGTTGGTCCCAGCTCCCAGAAATGTGCAGTCCTAAGGAGTTTGGTTCATCTTTTGTTCTTCCAGCCTTTTGGAGGGCTAAATGACAAGCCCCGCGCAACAGCCAGATTAGCCCAGCTCTAAAGGCTTTCTTGAAAAACGCATCCTTTTTAGCTCATCCCATGGATGCCCCCTCTGGATTATGAAAGCTGCTGGTGCTCAGGTCTTAGCAGAGGTGGACTACAGACACAGCAGATGGGTGAGATCACCCTGGGTGTAATTCCTTCGAGCTCCAAAATATAGGGGGTAAATTTTAACCCTCTGTGCTCGTGGGGCTGCCCAAGGCTGGTGGCGCTTGGTTGAGCGGCATCGGGGCCGGCGAGCTGGTGGCGGTGCCGGGCACGGCTGAGAGCAGGAAAGTACTGGCCAGGTTGTGGGCTGCTGGTGGGGGGAAGCTTTTGCCCAGGGGCTGCGGTTCATGAACACGTAGGGCACGTGGAGCGGGAGCTGCCTGGCTGAACTCGGCAGCACAGAAAGCAGGCAGCTGGTTGAGACCAGGTACCGGGGGTGTTTCTGCGGTCAAGGAAGAGAGGGAGGCGTGAGCACCCTGCTGATAGAGGTACTGGCTCTCTCTGTTTGACTTGTCTAATTTAGATGTCTCTTTTTTTTTTTTTTTTTTGGGGGGGGGTGGTGGTGTGTGTTTTGTTTTGTTTTGTCTCAGTAGCCAGAGTTAGTTGAGAATGCGTATTGCTTCTTAATCTTCCTGGGGTTTAACATTGTCCTATTAGTACTCACCATTATGCAGGGTTTCCTTAGGCTAATTTTGCAGCCAGCTCCTGGTGACCATTGGTGAGTGCTCAGAAGGAGCGTGCATCACTCAAGGAAGGTGTCACTGCAGGTGGCGATAGTTGCAGCAAAGTCATGCAGAGGTGACGCTAGCCACTGCATTCCAACATGCTACAAACACTTGGCATGCTCCAGACGTCAGTTAGTGTCGGTTTTAGACGGTTTTTCAATTGATTTTTTACTTCTCACCTCCCTTAGCTTAATTGTCAGTAAATTTTGAAGGATATTAGAAATGTGTCCCAGAGGACATGCTGGATTTTGTCTCCCCCTCCACTGTAACATGGACCAAAGATAATTGCTTCCTCTCAAAAGTAAGAGAAAGGAGTTTGGGGGATGAAAGCACGGTATTGTGAAAGATCTAGATGAAGCTTTTATTATTTATAGAAGCAATACCAAATGGAATTTGTGTAAGATTTTTTTTTTCCTTCCCCCCTCAAAAAAGAAAAAAAAAAAGGCATCTTAATATGTATTAATGGTGTGACATTCAGGGCTACTGGGGAGGGATGAGATTCTCTGCTGGACTTGTCCTCTGCCACAGCAGTCCCTTTGTCTGGCAAAGGGCCTGGGAACAACCCGGGTGCCGTGACCATTAGGAGCACAGCTTGGCTAAAACCCAGGGGGTATTCCCAAAGAGTCATCCCATCCCCTATGCCCTCTGGATGTCTCCTCTTTTCCATTGAAAAGAGATTTAGAAAACATCAATAGGACCTGTATATTTATACAAACCTTTTTAGTAAAGGGAAACAACCTGCATTTGGGGGGAATTGAGGTGTCCTCTCATGTCATTTAGGCATGACGTGTTGAACGTCATTGCTCTGTGCGGCAGTGTGACAGGGAGGGAAGATGCTCTCCTGCTCCTGCACCAGCCTACGTTTTTCCGTCAGCCTCCCACGGGAAAGGGACATCAGGGACATCCATAGATCTGTAAGGGATTTCCTATAGGGAGCAATAGGGATGTTGAAGGAGGAAAGTTGAGAGTGCCCTTTTTAGCTCCTGTTTTCTAATTTTGGCTTGCTGCTTGGCCTCTGCATCCAGTCCTCAGTGCCGTGTGTGCAGGGTGGGAATGGTGCTACGGGGTCCTGGGGGGAGAAACTAGCTGATGGTTGAAAATTGCCTCAAGGCAAGTGCCCGGGGACGTCAGCTTGGGCGAGACCCCCTCGCCCTGCGTTTTGGTGATGCTTCTTGGGACATGGACCCCATTGCTGTGGCTTTGGGCAGAGGCAGACGGAGGCAGCTTATTTCCTTCTCCACTCTCAAACCTGGTTCACCTCATCATGAGGACAGGCATCCTTCGCTTCTGCTTCCCACCTCTCGTGTTGTTCCTCAGGTGCTGGCATTTCTAGGCTTTGTTTTTGGTTTGGTTTTTTTTTAATAGCAAATGGAAAAGCAGCGTGAAGAGGGGGGTGAGAGCCAGAACAGCCATCTCCCCTCCTCCTGCAGCTCTAGTTCAAATGAGAGACTGGGCCGTGTCCCTGTGGCCTGCGCAGAGCCGTGGGCAGCCAGCCCAGCCCCGGCTCTGGTGTCCCCCAGGACCTGGTGGGGTGACTTCCTGTGTCCAGCAAATTGGTTGTTCTGGTGTCTCTTGGCTGTTGGTCGCCCTCATCCTCCCTCTTCTTCCTCTCCCCCCCAGTTCCAGTACCCTTCGGCGTATCTCCTCTCGGTCTTGGTATAGTGTGGCAACTGTCAGGAATTGCAAAAGTCTTCACGAGTTGGAAAAATCTGTTTTATCCACAGCTCTGGCATAAACCTCCTTCCTTAATGACTACCTGGTAGCTTGAGACCAAATGTGATTTTACTGAAATTGAAACCAAACCCACCGTTTCCCTTCCATTCCCTCCATGCACTGCTTGCCTCTTCTTAAGTCGTGCCTTCATCTTCAGGCTGTGCTGCTGAGGTCCTGGCCGGCTCGCCGGGCCCTGGGGAAGGCACTCCTCGAGAGCACTTGGCATGCCTCACGCTGCTCCGGCGTGAGGCGTTAATACGTGATGGACAAAGTCGTTGCAGACGTGGAAAGCGTTCTTGTACTTCTTACCTGGTGTCTTCTACAGCAGATTTTCTATGCAAGTAAAGAATTTACATCTCTTGAAAAAATATATGTATTTTGTTGTTTGTAACTCCTTTTTATGCCTCTGGTCACTATTGTACTTATTAAAGAACGAATAATTCATCTGCCAAGGACCGCCAGCTCCTCCCTTCCCTGTGGTCATGGTATGGGGACTCTGTGCCCGCTCTGCCTGGGGAGGGGGTCCCTGCTCCTGGCCCTGCCACCGCCGAGGTGGCCTGGTGGGACCCAGCGCTGCCGGGGGGCACCGGGACACCGTGGGCAGAGGGGTGACAGGGGCTGGGGAAGCCTGACCGCCTTTTGTGGCCCAGCCACCACCTGGGCGCTCCTCCAGGTGTCCCCTAAATGTTTGAAATGCAAGGAAATGGTCAAAATATTTTTTTCCTGGTTTTTTTTTTTTCTCATCCCTTTTTCTTTTTTCCTCTTCCCTTCTTTTTTTTTTCTCTTTTTTTTTCCTCCTCCCTTTTTATGGGCTGGCACATAACCAGGTGTAGTTGCCACTTCTTCTGTCCACTCTGCAGCCCTAACGCTTGAGCTTTTAAATAAGCAAATAAATAAACCCCTATGCTACTGTGTGGCTCTATTTCCTCTTTCCTTGTGGAAAAGCTGGAAACCCCAGCACCTGACTGCTGCTGGCCATGGAGCAGCAATGCTGTGGAGCAGAGCCATCCCTTGCCACCCGTGGGTTTGGGAGGTGTTGGGGTGTGCAGCTTAGCGGCGGGGGCTGGGTGGGCTCCAGCTGTGCGCAGCTGTTACCTCCTTCATTGTGACTATGGCTGGAAGAGTTCCAGACGTACGTCACCATCGAGGTCCAGTGTGTAATCCAGCAACATTCAGGGTGGAAGGGGAAGAAGGATAGAGGTTATATGTTTCGGAGGAAGCACCGGTAATGGTGCTGGAGATGGCATTTCTTCCAAAAATGCCCAAAAACCCCCACAAGAAATTGGGTAGGAGGAAAAGACGCATGAAAAATTGTGTTTGAGGAGACGGTACCAGTTTTGCTCTTTTTGTTGTCTAAAGTCAAAAAAAAAAAGGTGTATGCCAGTACATTCCCCAGCTAGCTAGCTGGGAGGGGGAGGGAATCGCCCAGGAGGGATTTGTTTAAAACCTTCCTTGAGCTGTGCAGCAGCCCGTGGTGCAGCGAGGTCCCTGGGTGGGTCCCATGTAGGACCCATGTAGGACCCGGGCAGCCAAGCAGCTGCAAAACGCCTCCTGGGCTCACAGCCACTGCCGGCTGAAGCCGCTCCTTCGTGAGCTCCAATCCCCGGCCTGGGGTGGGAATGTTCTCCCCATGGGCTCAGAGCCATCCCAACCCGGCAATACCATACAACCCAGTCACGCAGTTGATTTTAACAACCTTTATTGAATCACAATTAACTGCAATCAACATAACTGTGCCCTTTAAGTCAGGTTAATTCCCTTAGCTTAATGGGATTTTTGCTCTTTACTTTGCGATTACTATCCAGCAATCAAGGAGGCAAGAAGTGCCCGAGACGCAGCGATGCTACACGTTTAGCGAGGCCACCATTTACACTCCGCTGAGGCACCGATCCTACTCGGTGATGGTGATGCCCTTCTCCACAGAGATCCCTTTGATCTGGGTCGAGGTCAGCTTGGCTACTATTTTCTTCTCTCCTAGTCTCGTCGGAGTGCATATTATTTCAGACTTCATGATCCTACCAGGCTTTACATCCCTAAGGAGAAAGAAAAAAACAAATAGTCCCAGCTGAGTTATGGTTCTTATTTGCTGCTTTTGAATTTTTTTTGCCTAAAGAAATAGCTGCTGCGTGTGTTTAGGGTGGATGTTTCCCTTCTCCCATGACCAGCGTGCAGCAAGCAGGGCTCAGCAGAGTTGCACTGGCTGCTGGTCCCGGCGATACTGGGGATCTTCCGCAGACTTCCCTGTACTGCTGCAACACTAAATTCAGCTCTGAAGGGAGCGGCTGCGTTCACAGTGGCCAAGCAGCGCCCGGCATCACAGCAGGAGCACAGGGAGAGCCCCGGTCGTGCCTGAATGCCCTGAGCATGCCAACCTCTGCATGGGTCTATCTGCTCCGTGGACTGCCCCCAAACGTGGCGCGGTTTTCAACATAGCTTGCAAAGGGCCCTGTTATTCCAAATCCCCTAACCATTTCTTCAAAGGAAATTAAAAAAAAAAAAAAGAAAAAGAAACAAAGCAAAGTATTGCCATGCTCATTTCATACTGCCCTCATCTCCTTACCCCTGATCAAATGTTGACATCTTAAATATGCCCAAGCCCTCCACCCGCAGCTTGCAGTTGTCCAGGGGCATGTTCAGCTTGTTCTTGAAGATGAAGGCACAGGAGAACTCCTCGTTCAGTTTGGCCGTTTCTGGCATCTGGCAGAGGAGGAAAGAGAGAAACAAACCCAAATGCCGGGCATCAGAGAGGTAATAAGGATGCCAGAGCTGCTGCCAGTTTGCTCCTCACCACCAGCGTGGTGGGGGACAACCCTTCATATCCTTTCCACCCTCCCACAGCACCACGTGCTCTGTCCCGCTGGCTGTTTCCCCAGCTCTTCTCTCTCTGTTTTCTCAACATGTTTTCTCCTTCAGGAGGTAGAGTTGTGGGGCTGGAGATGGGCCCTGTACAAACTGTCCTCTTCCATCCCCTTCCCTCCAGCAGCCCCTGCCTGCCCATTTTAGATGGAGCAATGAAATCTTCATTTCATGGCTGCTTTCAGCCTTAAATAGAGGGTGAATAACCAAATAAAATGCCGGGGACTGAGTATCCCCGGAGGCTGCTGTTTGGGAGATCCCCCTGAGAATACTAACACCACCTTGGTGTTACAGTGAGCAGGGCTTTAACCCTTGTCCCCGAGGAGCCCGGGCTGGCGGCTGCCTCACCTGGACGGTGATGGGGGGATACTCAAAGCTCATCGTCGTCTCCTTGGTGAGTTTGTCATCTATCCCCTGGACCTCAGCAATGGCGGTGACACGGATGAACACTTCGTCTTCCACCGAGGACAGTGTCTTCATGTATGTATCGGGCTCAATTTTCAGAGGGACCTGTGTCTCTGCAGGAGAGAAAACAGAACTTGGAGCTTCACCACATACCCATGAACTGGATGGCAAGTTCGGCTTTCATGGCAAGTGCCTCAGGGTGCAGGATGAGGCATATTTGCTGAGACCATCCTGCTTTTGGCCAGATCTGGGGGCTCCATGGGGGGAAACCCCAGCTCAGTGAGTGGTACCCAGCACATGCAGCCCGTGGGGAGGGCGGCCGAGCCCACACCATCTCCCCACCACGCCGAGTGCCGGCTTGGGCTCATGTCCAGCGTCTCGGCAGCCCTCGTCCCCAGCTGCCCTGGCACTTGGGAGAAGGCAGAATAGCATGAGGTTGGGTACATTTAAGCTCGCGTTCCCTGGGGTTTCTCTGAGGCACTACTTGCTATAAAATTAGCTGCTTTCCTTTCACTTCAGATTTTATCCTTAATTGCCTGGACAAACTTCCAGTGACTTGGAAAAGACCCAGAGTCAGCAGCACTTGAGCCTGAATGCTGCCTTAGCCACAAAGCTTCCTGGCTTTTTCTGGAAATAATAATAATAAAAAAAGCCTGTCTTTATCTTTTAACGTATGTAGCTACCCTTGTGTCCTACCCTGCTGCATTTTGACAGCCACAGTATATGTGTGAAAACACTCAGCAATCACCATCAGCAAAGATATTTTTTTTGTGAGAGTGACTCACGCTTGGAATGAGCAAGTGCTGTTAATTATTCATCACTCGTTAGTCTCTTGTTTAGCAAATTTCAATCACATTGCTGGGGATCAGAAATGCAACCCCAGTTGCTCAAAGACATGCAATGAACAGCAAACAGCTCTTGGGATCCGCCAGGTAGGCAGCCACTAAGTTGAAATTTGCTTGGGCAAAGAATTCAGAAAATAACATTCACCAGCATCACCACCAGCCCATCAACATTAGATTAGCAAGTACAAGAACAAAAAAAGGCTGATCCTGTGAGGGATCTGACCTAAATGGATGCACCTGAAGCCTGCAGTAGCATCTCTGACGCTTACATGGTGAGGATGGGAAGGAGATGTTCCAGCACACCTCACTCGCACCATGAAAATATCTGTCTGCCCACACTGATGTATTTTTAACAATCTCATTGAAGCTGCAGCAGGACCAAGGCCTTCACATTTTGGTCCCTGCTATGGTAGGATCCCAGTCTATAACTGAGACTCCCAAATGCAGTAACAAGAGAGGTAGGTAGCAGGCAGGCAATTTCTGCTCTTCACGCCATACCAAGCCACACACTGACCTATAGCGGAGCTATTATGAACCAGCTCAAGTGAAACCCCAGACTGCCACAGCAAATAGCCCATAGAACACAGCAAGCTTTCCATGCCTACCAGATTTGCCTTCAAGCTTGACGATCTCCTTGACATATCCAAGGTTGGCCTCAATTTTCCCAGTATAGGACTGCAGCTGGCAGGAGCCGACAAGATTGATAGTCCAGCTCCCAGGAGTAGAGATCTTCACTGTGACGCCCAGTTCAAGGGGATTTCCAGGATACAAAGGTTCTTTATTGGTTATCTCAAGCTGGAGCCCAGTCTTGGAGATGGTCTCTTGCAGGACCCCAGGCTTGGAGACCGCATTATCCATGGGCAGAGCTGAAGCAAAGCGTGCACGAGGTATCATTCCAGAAGGGCGTATGAAGGAGGAAGCTTTCTGCATGGACTTCCTTTCCTCTTCAGAGCCTGGATGAAGAAAAAAGATGGGTGACAGCTGCATCTCAGTCTCCTCACCCAGAGGCACCTTCCCTTTATTTATGCTTCTACTGCTGAGCAGAGAGGATGTCAGAACATCTCCAGCCTCTGCTCAGGACACCCTCTTGGTTTACACTACCACCGGATCTAACTGAGAACAAGTCTTATGAGGAGCGGCTGAGGCTCAGAACTGGGCTTGTCTAGCCTGGAGAAAAGGAGGCTGAGGGGAGACCTTCTCACTCTCTACAACTACCTGAAAGGAGGTTGTAGCCAGGGGGGTGTCAGTGTCTTCTCCCAAGTAGCAAGCTAGGTTAATGGTTGGACTTGATCTTAAAGCTTGCTTCCAACCTAAATGATTCCACAATTCTAACTGTAGCATTTTGGACTGGAAGAATTTCCTGAGACACTTTTAGAAGATGGATGCTCTTAAATTTTTCAGGCTAAGATTTTCCCACTCCTCACCGGGAAGGGTTTAACAGTGTAGCACAACATGGCTGGATCCGAGAACCGTGGGGAGGGAATGTGGGTTTTTTTTGTTTCCAACATGTTCTGGGGAATGGAAAGACAAAAGAAGAACAAAGAAATGAAGCAACAGTGAGTCCAACCACTAGGTTGGTCACTCTGCCCATTTCTTTCACTGCTTGCAAGCTTGCTCGCACCTGTCCCTAAAGAGCAGCCTATAGGTGTCACTGCGGGCATGAAGACGCCCAGGAGCAGTGCTGCCTCCCCCAGGTCTCCAGGCCTTACACAGGGTTTGCCACTGCAGCTACCCCTGCAGTTTTCTCCTAGAGAAAACATGAGTTGTGGGGTGACCTCCACGGTCAGGGGGGTCTCCTCTTTGGCACTACTTTAGAGGATGGTGGTAGTCACCTTCAGGGAACTTGTACTGCGCGGTGATGTCTTCCCGCTTGTCCTGCCCCACGGCCTTTGTGCTTATGTTCACGCCAATGCCTTGGGTCTCAGTGTTAATCTTGATGTACTTGTCCTTGCCGTTCACCTTCTTGACGACCCAGTAGACTTTGTCAGCATTCACTTCTGCATACACAAACTTGCTGTCGAAGGGCAAATACACGTCCCCTTCTCGGATAGCCTTCAGTGGGCATGGACCACACTGGAAAACACCTAGAAAATGCATTCAACACCATTTGCTTTTCCAAATACGAACAGAGCCTCCAATTTTTGTTCCACTCTCAGACCCACCCAAGCAGGAATCTGTGGCCATGGTAGTTGATTCTTAGTAGTAAATATTCTTCCAACTCAGTGATGAACTCCAAAAGCCCCCATTTATCCCATAGCTGTTTGGGCTTTTTTATAGAGGACCAAGGTCTGGTAAGAGCTTTTATGTGTTTTCCCTCACTTCTTAAATAATTTTAAGGTTTGAAAGTCACAGCTCGATGATGGAGTCAACTGAGTCGAGTCACCTGTGTTTGATCTCCTGGCAATACCCCATTTTCTGCACAGCCTTGAGGTTTAATGTTTTCTTTCCCACCTCCAAATTCACTGCATCTGTGCAGGGAGGGTAGTCACCAATTTTGGCATTCACTTTTCATTTACCAATGAATGGACTCATGACTTGCTCAGGAAAGCTCTACAGAAAGCATCTTTACTGAGGAAAGCAGTAGTGCCTCTTACTACAGACTGCTTTGAGTCCTCAACTTCACCAAAGAAATCAGAGGATGATGGAAAGAGAAATTAGTTCTGATTTCCAGCTGCGCGCTCTAACATCTGAAATGACATTCATGTCCCCACGGTATCCTACAAGGTTGGTTTTCTGCCTGCCAGAAAATGCTGTTCCTCCCATCCTGGGCTGAGACAGCAGGAGTGAGAACTCCAGCTTTAGGATGTCACTGCCCAAGTGTGTGAAGATGTGCATGGGGATTATGTGCTTTGCTGACTGAGGACCATGGTTTTCACTTGAAATGTCCCTGCCTCCCTTGGGAGCTGCAGAAGAGCTTTTCTAGGCAAATCCTACCTTGACTTTGCTCCTGAGGTGTTGAGTCGATTGCCTGCCAGCCATCAAACCCTGATGGTAGATCCGCCCGCTTCATCCAGACATCGTTCCACACGTGGAAGTTCCTGTGTGTATTTGGGTTGGAAAGAAAAGGGGTGAGCTATTACAGCCAGAATAGTCACAATCTCCTCTCTTAATCCTTAAGTAAGGGCAGGCTTAATGGAGCTTTGCCTGTAAGCCTGTGAAACCCCAGGCTTACTCTCTCTCCCGGGCAGCAAACTTGAAGTAGTAGGGAAATTGTTAAAGGAAAGCCTGTTGGGGCTCGGA